GCACATACACCAAACACGTATAAAATGTGGGTGGCGTCGTGGTTTTTCAACTACTTGTTTGAAGCCGTGCATTCATTCACTAGTTACCCGCTCGGTATAAGCTCTTGAAACTTTATTTGATGACTGCATTTTCAATTTTGCTTTCTTCCTTAGATCTGAACGTACTCCTTAAAGTCAGCCGAATGTCTAATTTCTCCGTGGTTCTTATTTGTTTGGAATACTACAGCTGTTTTTAGAGAGTCTTTTTGGATTTGAGATTGAAGAGAGGTTTGTTTTCAACAACTTTTAAGCAGAGAATGGGAACCAAAACGATACATCGCGGAGCAGGACTCGCTCAGTGGATCTAAGCAGTGAAAATAACCTTAGCTACCAACAAAGGTAAAATCCCAATCTTATTCACATATTTCGATATTTCATAAAGACCATTTTCATATTGAATATTTTCAAATCGAATTTCCAAACCTTTTCCTGGTGAAGAATAATTGCATTCACCTGTCACAAGTAATTTAATTTCAATAATAAGAATGTAGGTTGTATACATTAGTTGTTGTTTGGTCGGATTAATGTTATTGCTTATTCGACCAAACAACATGCTGTGTAGGTAATGTGCATAATAAGACCATTCAAATTTACTATTTGTAACAGGTGAATGTGATTGTCAAGAGTCATAAGAGTCATTTAGCAAGGATTTGCGTTACATTGGAACGAAAAGAGCCTATTTTATGGAAGATTCTGTAAGTACAAACGATATGCCACTATGAATGTTTGAATTTTTATTTTTGTTCATTTTGTTCAGAATAAACGAATTGAAATTGAACGTAATATTCCTCCCGGTAAGCTTGCAAAGCAATGAAATATCTTAACACAAGTTATAACTTATAACCAATTTATTTTGATGTGTTTTGGGTATGTGGTAATCCTTAAACAGTTTTTTTTAATGAATGTTTTATCCATTTCATCAAGTTATCTAATAAATCAACCTAGGACTAATAGTGTCCTTTTTCAATTGATCTTGCAAAAGATTTGTTTTTAGTAAAAGACGTCAATGTGTAACTATAAATGAAGATTATTTTGTAATTATTGTTTAATCAGAAATACAATTTTAAGCACGTACCCAGCATATAATGGTCACAGCGTTTGCAGAGGCCTCTCTCCCCACCCATGAACCAAACAAATATCTACAGAGGTGTTACCTTTTGTAGCTCAGGTGAATTACATCCCCAGTAATTACGTTTGGAGAAGCCTCACCCCACCCACCTATTCCCTTGTTTAGCTTAGGTAAATTATAATTATCACCTTCCCTGGTTTACAGAGGCCTCTTGCCCCCAACCCACCATAACAAACTAGGGTTAATATGGTGCCTTTGGTAGCTGAGATAATTTCCATCCCTGGTAAAAATTATTTAAAAAACATTCTTGAAACGCCGATGCGATGTTCATAGTGGATGCCCATAATATTCGACAAAAATTTCTTTCTCTGCTAAACAAAGAAAAGTAACTGAAATGCTAATGATGTTCTCGGCAGCAAACTGCTCTCGGTTGACCCTACTTTAGTTTCATTAACAAGACGATGCACGATTGAACTTTTGGGGATAGAACACGCTTTCCTGAATAGGAAAATGCATTAAGCCAGTCAACGCTCACTCACCCCATCTCTCTTAATCCGAATTCTCATCGGATAAATCCAAAGCGGAAAGTGATGAAATCACCTCCAATTTATCCGTCCACTTTGAATCGCAGACAATCTACATCGAGGGCTGTGAGAAGGTGATGGAGGAATATCGGGGGAGGTTTTTTATGGTGATCCGACATGTGCTCCGGTTTTTTTTATTTTGAAAGATATCGATTTCGCGTTTAAGTGAGGGTCAAGGTTGCATTTAAAATATTAAGGTTAAGGTTAGGCTCAGGTTTAGAGTTTGTTAGAGTGTTTGGTGTTCAGAATTTAAGTTACCGTAGGATTCCGACAGTTAGCCACTGGAGCACTATGTAGTTGCATCGGTATTAAGGGCTTGGTTTACAATTGACGATCTGGGTTAGGGTGAGGGTTAGGTACAGTATTTGGTAGAGTGTTGTCGTTAGTCATTCAGTTATAGTGATCCAAGGCTGTCGACCGTGGAGAAATTGTCGTTGCAGTCAAAGTCGTACAGTTTAGAGTTGGATATTGTCCGCGTAGCAAACTGTCGCCAGTGGAGAACGTTGTCATACTGTAGAACCTACAGTGTAGGATGTTGACCGCGGCGCAACCGTCACCAGACCATGTGTCGTGGAACCTGTCGCTGGAGTATTCGTCGTAGAACTTAGAGTAGGAATTTGAGCGGAGAGCAACTGTCGTCAGATCATTGTGTCGTAGAACCTGTCGCTGGAGTATTCGTCGTAGAACTTAGAGTAGGAATTTGAGCGGAGAGCAACTGTCGTCCGATCATTGTGTCGTAGAACCATGGGTAATTCAGACTGACAGTGACCCAAAGGTCAACCGAACTGACGAAATATGATGGATGGTGGCACACAGGGGTAAACATTGGACGATCGATGGATGCCGGCGGCTGTCAGGGTCTGGCCAGTATTTACATCGCATACTGTATATTCCACGTTATTCACGTTAAGAATATTAAGTGACGCACTTTTCGAATGCAGTCTTTTTATGTTATTATGAATGTGTATAAATTCTGTATTTCAATATCAGCAATTCAGTCCCCCAACTGCAAGAGAGACTTTATTGGAATCGGTTTTTCATTTACTTTTTTTTATTTGAATAAAGTGTTCAACTCATTGAATGTTAGAAGAAAAATACACAGCTTCTTAAGACGGTTTAATGTAAAACTTTCTCTCACACGCTCTATTATTTTTTGGAGGGGGTAAAACATCATTCGATAGGGTTGCTACAACATAATTCCCTCGAATTACTTTTATGCCATTGACACAAAAGCATTCAAATTCGATTTCTTTTTCTTCTTAAATAATAAAATTGTAATGGTACAATACATTGTATGGAAAGGAAACAGAATAGAAATGAATGCTAAATCTGTACAACCATTTATAGGGCATTATCGAATAAGGAAAATGCGAGTACAATGTTATTGTTTTTTCTATAAAGGACTTTCTTTTAGGGCGACTGTGGTAAATCCATTCACAAGAGTAGGAACTGTTTCACGGTGTGTTACTCTGTATTTTCTCATTCGATGTATGAAAAATGAGCTTCGGTTTTGGCACCTCACCCAGAACTGCGAATGCTTTATAATTTAATTTGGAAAATAATAGCAAGTGCAGGATACTTCATGGTACATGTTTAGGCTAGTTGAACTAAGAATGCTTTCTATTTTTATCACAAAACATAAAAACGATTTGACTCGTACTCGATGGCCTTTACAATCATCTCTATTTTTGTCACAGAGTGCACAGCCCAATAGAGATTCGACAGAAGGCATAGGAATTGCTGGAAATGAAAAGGACACCTCATTTGTCAGAGAATATCGTTATACTGTTCCATCAAACACCAAATCAATCGACAAACAAAATGTCGGTACTTTACAAATAGGTACTATCAAACAATGCATCACTTTACCAGGAAAAACAAGCAATATTCACAAATCATGCCACACTTCTCAATATATATTTCGCGATAGCATTACAGACAGTCTATATGGGCTATTCGCAGGAAAGCAAAAAGAGTGATATGCATTTAATTCGAGGGCCATCTTTTCGACGCCAAACATTATTCATTACGCGTAGTGAAAGCGAAGCGCGGCAGGGGATGAGGTTTTTGGAATAGTGATTTTATTCGTCGTGACTCATCGACTGTACGAAGCGGATATAGGCTCGGTTTGAAATGCTAGGTACGTACATCGAGGTGCCTAGTTAATGGGGTTATTAGGGGGTATAATGAGGGGGTAGAAATCTTTGGAGGAGAAGGGTAGGGGTGAAGCTCTAAGATGAGGTATCTACTGTGAATGTGGTTATTAGTGGGTATTATGAGGGTGAAGTTTGTATATTTGCAAAGGGAAAGGGGTGTGAGGTTTTAAAATGAGCTAGGTACCTAGTTGGTGGGGTTATGGGAAAACTGTATTCTTTTGATGTTGCTTTTTTGGGGTGGGGGAACGAGGGAGAGACAATGTTCCGATCTGAGGCCCCTGGTTGATGGGGATGATAGAATATAATTTGGGAGGTATATGAGTCTATGGAAGTTGGCATTTTTAGAGGCTGCAATATGTGAAGATTATGATGAGGTAGTATTATGATTGTAGTAAATATTTAAAATATGACTGGCAACATGTATTTTAAAAATGTGCACAATACAAATAAGCACCGTAATGAAAAGAGGACGAATACAGAGAAGAAAAAAAATTACGTTCTTAAATTGTAATTGTTTGCAGATGAAAAAAAATAAAAAGGAGAATTTACATATTTTGTATGTTCTTTTCAGCACTGTTGTCATACATTTCATTACTATTTTTGTATTTTGATCACTTTGGCTTTCGGTTTTCGATCGATGTTGTTCAGTTTGCCATCCTCTTTCTTTTTCGTGCATGTGTGTTTTCCTCCCATTCGTTGATAAATACATGAGGAAATGTATGTTTTGTGATAATATAATTCAAGGTTGTTCCTTTTGCTCGACTTACTCCTTAGCGAATAAAATTATAAAAATTTAATTATCGCTACCGAGGGGAAGATAAAAAACGTGGGGGTAAAATTAATGTTGTGAGTAGATGATTGAGAGGAGAGACAGAGACAGAGAGAGGGAAGGAGAGAGAGAGAGAGAGAAAGACAGAAGGTCAAGAGAGAGGGTGGATATAATGTTCGTGTGTTTGTGTGTGTGTTTCTGTTTGTTAAGAATGTAGGAGCTTCATCAAATTTTGTTACCTCTGGTTTAAGGAGAAGGTTAAAATATAGGGGGAAACGTGTAAAATGTGTGAAAATCAAGTCCTCGATTTCATCTTCTTTCTTGTTATTTCTTTTTCTTCTTCAGATTAGTGACTCCTAAAGCGAAAAAAAACTTGGTCCATTATGACGTCGAAAGCGTCGACCCCCGATTCGGAGATAAGTGCCCCGGAAGATAACTGTTATCGCCTGGTCGTGCTCGGGTCACCTAAGGTCGGGAAGACGGCGATCGTCAGTCGCTTCCTGACGGGAAAATTCGACGACGGTTATACGCCCACCATTGAGGACTTTCACAGAAAGATCTACAAGATCAAAGGCCAGGTCTACCAGCTCGATATCCTTGATACGTCAGGCAACAATCCATTTCCCGCCATTCACAAGCTATCGATACTCACAGGTGAGCTTGTCGTCTGCTTTCCTCTTGATAAACATGCCTTCACGATTTTCTGTGAAAGCGTCGACCCTTGCATCAAAGCGGGAAAACACTAAGTAATAACCGTTAGCTCTGTCATTATACATACATAGTGCAATTATTATTAATATTAAAACATTCATTTTTTAGAGATCATTCGTTATAATCGCATAATGTGTGCGTTTAATCTATAACTTTTTTAATCAAACTCGTTTTATTTGAGTCAACTTTGCCAGCTCAGGTGATGCGCGAATGGCGTGCGCGCATACTCGACTAGCTCGCATCGCCACATCAATAGACTTAAAGAACAGGTGTTTTAATGCAAAGGACGTCTCTTGACGATGGACTGGTATACACATCGTTAAGTCTCGGTATATCACGTAAACAAGTCGCCATATTTGACAGGGAACGTTCATTATGTCGCCCTCACCCGGTATCCCCAATAGCTTTGAACCTATCTTACATGTGGTTTAAACATTGCCAGAGAGCGCTATCGAAGCTGGCATTTTAATGCCCTGCAACATTCATTATACGGAGGCGGGTCGCGGCACGCGTGCAACTGTATGCTATGCAGACCTGAATAGAATGGTTTATCAGATGTCAGACTGTCGTAGGAAACAAATTTGTGTTCATCACTTAAGACTTAACAACTTAATACTTGTTGCACACTTTCAAATTATCTAATATGACTTTGTACGGGAAATTTAGACCTTGATGAATATTTTAGAAAGTCTGCCAGCACCATTTCTAAAAAGACGACATTATTTTTATGCCGTATTGACAGTGTGCTGAGATTTAGCATGGCTTTGTATCGGGAGTTTAGACCTGGACTAGGCCTAGGCCTTACTTTATAGAAAGTAGACCATATCTATTTTTAGAAATTATTCCAAATTAGGATGAGGACATCTATGCCAAATTGTGAAGGGATTTAACATGCCTTTATATACGAAATTTAGACTTTTTGTATTCATTCAGTAAGTGGATCGGCACCATTTCTAGAAACGACATTAATACCGAATTGCGAGATTTTAAAAAGAAATTGACATCGCTTTCAAGTTGCTTCATCAGTACAAAACCCGCGAAACACGACAAGAGGTCATTTCCTTCTCAATGTCATAGCAATAAGGTTGGGGCTTTTGTAATAATTATTACCATTCACGTTTTTATGCAACAATAGTAGCTTCACGCTTCGTCTAGCGATGCGTTTATCAGCAATTCCCATGACAACCGATTATTTATCTGCCTTAATCTTCCGAATGCAAACCAACGACTTTAAGGCAGTTATAACAGAAATGTTATCAAGATAAAATATTGTGAGCTTGAGCTCAATAACAATGATTATATCTGTTGAAGAGTAAAAAGATCTAGTACACGAATATATCTGTCTCGTCTTTTTGTACTTTTAGGGTATTTTTAGGTCTCCTTGTCCTTCAAGTGTGTCACATCCTTCAATTCTATGATAATGAAAGATGAATATTTACAGGGCTTTTACTCGTGCAGTGTTGATCACGTACGAATGGAAACAATGGGGAGGAAGGCCTAAAGTATCAGATTGGCTTCAATAACGTCATCGCAATCTATAGGCTAAGTCAAGCTATTGGCGAAAGCAGGAACGTGGAAGTAGAGAGAGAGAGGGGGAGGGAGGGAGGGGGAAGGGGGAGAGATAATAAGAAATGGAGACAATGACTGGAAGAGAGAAAGACATATCTGGTCAAAATAGAGTGATAATTATATATCGCAACTCGTTATGATTCTACTCTCTTCAAAATTTCATTTGAAATCCCAACTAACGCTTTTTAAGTATTTCAAACGTATTTTTCTTAGGTTAAAAAAAATGAATTAAAATGTCAGAGGTAAACATATCGGAAGTAAAAATGTAAGAAGTAAAAATGTCAGAGGTAACATGTCAGAGGTAAAAAATATGAGAGGTAGACATTCCGGAGGTAAAGTTGCCAGATGTCATATGCCATACAACTCTCCACCATCTATTTCGATAGACAAAATAGTCACATGGAAATGTGACAACATTTCTTTTTGCCAGAGGTGTTTAAATTCATGATCTCTTTATTACATCAAATATATTTGATTTTTTAATTGGTATTTATTTTATTTACTAATATTGACAAATTGCAGTTATATTTCTTTTTCCTTAATATCTTGTCAAAATCGCGCTTAATTACGGAAGAAAAGTTTTTATACCACAAAACAAATTTAATCACCAGTACTTGCTGTTTATTATCTAAATTGTAAAGATTCATTTTATGGCGCTGTCTTTAATACGAAAGCTTTCCTAACCGCCTAATTATTTACGACGGGCTTGGCAGTATATCATTAAACCCTGATTGCTCTGCTCCTCCCCGGTGAGGAGTAGAATAAAATCCTGCGTTCATGTTTGATTTCTTCATCAATAATTGACATTGTTGAGCAATTATCTCTCCATTTTGGCGCGGGATAATCCGCGCTCAGTCGCCTGATCTTGTTTACACGGCTGTAATCACGTTGGAAGGCGTCGCAGAAGCCTACCCAGTGAAGAAAGGGGGTTTTGCAGTGTACAGAGGCGTAGCCAAGCGGGCGGGGTATGGGGCAGATGTTAACCCAAAAAAATAATTCTAAAATAAAGAAGGACAACAGAGAAAGGGAAAGGCGGCGTGAATGGATGACTTGCACCCCATTTTCAAAGCCTTTCACTATCTTGGCGTGCTTCATGACCTTAAATTCTGTCCTTCATATTTCATGTACCTAGCCCCCCCCCCCCCTCCCCCACGATACCTCTTAATGAACAGACTCAGGCTATGCCACTTGTGATGTGTTCCTTGTGTGTCGTAAAGATTAGAGACCTTCGAATTTTTTTAATAGGCATCGTGTATGGGACACTTGCTGAATTTCTGAAATGTATAGTCAATTAATAAATAGACGAAACATACTGGAAGGGACCTTAATATAACGGTACTACTTGACAAAAATATTTGATTTGCCGAAAGAACATGCGAATGAGGTGTCACATCTCACCCATCCCGTCCTCCTTAGCTACGTCTCTAGTGAACTCCAAGTTTAGCGCCAATAGATACCCTACACGTCAGAAAAGAGTGCCAATGTAGGCCCTATGATATAATCAATACTTAAAATATGGAGCTTTTCAAAATAAACTGAAAAAATACTACTGAAGAAAGTATCTCTACCTTATAAATCGCATTTTACATTTAAAAGGCGTCAGGACACCTTCATACATCATTATAATTGGTAGTACACAAAATTAATCTAGCGTAGATGTGAATACATGGGTCAATATTGAACAAAAATGCACTTTTAATGTTTTGTCCGGTAAATTATGGCAAAAAGAAAGTTGGGGGCTATGAAAAAATACAAATAATTCTTAAATGTTATTCTGTTTTGATGAGTCACGTATGTCGGACAGGATGGCACTTTGCATAGCCTCGTCCAATTACCCATTCATATGGCAGCTTAAGTTTAAAATATGTAGAGTGGAGTTGAGTGAAGGAGGCCCTGCCCGGTCAGTGACTCGAACTGCAGGATTATTGGATTCTAGGAATTAGGCTCGATTTCATTTTTTGTTCGTGATAATATTCTAAAAGGGTATAACCAAGAGAGGAAATTATTTAGATCCTTCCGTTGTGGAAAAACCGGATTCTTTTGATATTTGATAGAACTTATGTATTTCTTTGTGTAGTCCTTTTGTAGTTTGACTCATGCAATTGACCTTATTTGGATATTTAATTCCTCTCGGCGTGCTTTTGGTCCTGTTTATTTCGCTGATGCCATCGACCTTTTTGGAACATTATTCTTCTTGTGATCTTTTGTATCGCTGATGTCATTGACCTTTTTTGAACAATACTCGCCCCTGTTGATACTTGCTTTAGTATAAACAGAAACAAAAGGATGTGTATTTTCTGTCGGTTAAGTTAATGGGTAGATTGTTATCGGGAAGACGGGTATTTTAACCGCGCGGATATAGGAATGTCCATTTTGATTGGGTAGATACTGAATTGACGCGAAGCTGAAGGTACTCTAAACTTACCAGCCTGATGAAGTGGATTAGACACGAAAGCGTCGGGAGAAAAGAGAGAGAAGGAGTGCAAGAGAGAGATAGGGGAGAGAGAAAGAGAGAGGGGAGAGGGAGGGAGGTAGAAAGAAAGAGAGAGGGGAGAAAGAGAGAGAGAGAGAGAGAGCAGAAGAAGAGAGAAAAGGAGAGGGAGGGGAGGGAGGGAGAAAGAGAGAGTGGAGAAAGAGAGAGAGAGAGAAAGAGAGTGGAGAAATAAAGAGAGAGAGAGAGAGGGGGGTAGAGAGAGAGAAAGAGAGAGAGGGGGGCGTAGGGAGAGAGGAAGTGATAACAAGAGATGGAGTGCGGGATATGAAGAATCACCAAACAAAATCACCAAAAAGATCGTGCAGCAAAGTGAGAGTAAAAGATTCTGGAAGAGGATGTGAGGAAGGGGAAATGGATAAGGAGAGATGGGGTATGTGATTGGTATGGAAATAGACAACGCCAAGAAAGAAACAAGGAAGAGATGCAAATTGAGAGTGAGAGACAATGGGGGTCAACTCTAAACTGGTGAATGCTTGTATTAGAGACACGTGTGAGAAGAGAGAGAGAGAGAGAGTGTCGGTGATGGAGACACTGATAAGAAGAGATAGAGTGTGTGATAGACATAGACATTAGAGAGGTTACCTTTTGCGGAGATTTAAAATAATTGGGAAGAGAATCAAATTGTAAGTGACAAATAGTATATGGGGATAAAATCACGAACGCCGCGCTTGTATTAACGACAAAAGTGTGAGGAGAGAGGAAGAGTGAAGAGAGAGGTGGTGATAGAAGCGGGAAATGGAAAGAGCGAGAGAGAGAATATAAAGATTTGGAGGGAGATGTAAAGATAAAAACAGATACTGCAAAGAAATAAAGGGTGAAGTGGGAAGCTAAGTGAAGCGAGGAAGAGAAACTATGACCCAAAAGAGAAAATCGATTGGCACTCCCTTGTATTAAACAAGAAAGTGTTAGGGATTTTTTTTTCTTCAATTGAAGAGATGGGGAGAAATGAGACAGACCTAGAGACAGACCTAG